GGGGGGGGGGGGGGGGGGCAACTATACTTTAACAATGATTTTCGATCTCACTCTCCTTATCCAATTATTGAGTTTCTTGCGTTATACTCTCAACTACTTGGATCGATATCACGTTACTCTAAAATTAAATTTATTTTATTTTTCTATGAAAATAACTATTTGCTTTTAGATTTTGGTATAAAATAAAATAAAATTACATAATTCAGGGGTAAAGTGTAATAATTTTTCGCCCAATTCATATCAAGACTTAAGTAATGTGAAAGTAAGACATAATTACTGGTTGAATATGCGAAAGGGAATAGGTAAAAAGGATAATTGATAAAAGAATGGGTTAAAATCTAGTTTATAAAAAGAAAGTGGGCCTTCCATGTCTCCATCGTACATATTAATCGGTGTGTGGGGCCATAATCTTATAAAATGAAATGGCTGAATATGACATTTCTTAGTGGCATAATTATTAATTAAATATAGTGCCTTTAAACTGTAGCATTTGACTATTTTCAATTCTAGATTTGAAATGATAAAGCTTACCTCTTCTTCCTCAGGGGAAGACTAATGAATCAAAAAATTATAATTTTTTTAAAGTCAAGATACTTATGACCGATTACGCCTTCTGTCTTCATCATAACATTTATGATCGATTATGAATTACCTTAGTTAATTGTAATTTAAATTTTAAAAGTAGTGATCTTCGATATTAAGTGACTTTTTTTTTTCCGATACCATAGATTGACCCTCTTTTCTATATTGAATTCTAGATTTGGAATGATAAAGCTTACATCTTCTTTCCTAGGAAGTGTTTACCTGCTGTCCCTATGGCCATTTATGAAATACAAAGCCCATTGAGGAAAAGATGAAGATGTCTTTCACGTACACAAACAAAAAAAAATTAGGGTTAATTATAATTTGTCTCCTTCAACTATGTCGATTGTTGCAATAAGCTCCCTATGGTTTTAAATATTGTAATTTGCCTCATTCAAGGTTCAAGCAGACTAAATTGAATGACAACAGTGGTTATAACATAAAAAATACCATTACACCATCCATCAAGGTTAATTGTGTCTCTTCAACAAAGTAGAGATGACATAAATTTTTCAGGTCTAACTTCTGTCACTTTTTATGGTTCAAAATTAACTTTGGAGTTAATTGTAAAATATTCAAATTTAAAAGAAAGGCTATTTGTTGAAAGTAAAACCTAAAGTGGTGAATTTCAAACTACCTAAAGTTTAAGGGGGTATTTTGTAATTAATCCAAAAATTGATATGATGTTATCATAATATATAGCAATAGACAATTCAATCATTACTTAATTTAGGACTCTACTATCATTTGAAAACTGTAAATTAGAGCTTATAATATTTTCCTACAGCTAATATTTTGGGTCAAATGTAAAAAAAAATTTTGTACTTGGTGTTACTATGTACAGTTATTAGGAAAGTAAGTGTCCTTTAAAAAGCTATTTTGAGTTAAACATGAAGACTGTGTGCACCTTGTTCCAAAAGACTCATGGCTTCGATCATACCAATTCTACAACTAATGTGGTGAGAGTCATCCTCCACAGTCCACACCACTTGGTCAGTGACTAGGGGAGCACGTACTATTTAATAAACGGGCGCCCTGTATTAAACAAGCAAGATAATTTTTTTTTTATGGGGGGGGTTGTTGAGAAGAGAAGATATCAAAGAAAACGCGTAACTAAACAAACAAACACAAGTCCACAACCACCATCACGAAAACAACTGGTACAAAAACAACAATAACATCTTTTGAAAATCGTATCATAACCATTAGTCTTAATTCTTAACATACAAATCAATTTAACAAGTTTCAAACTTCCCCACGTCTGATACTGAGAAACACCAATGAAGGTTAGAGCATAAGTATTAGAGAATTTGTTACGTTTTGTGTCTTGAAATATTTTTCAGAATTGATGTAGCATCCTGTTCAATGGTACTGACTTGGTTTCTTTGGCCTCTCTATATGAGAGCAGTTGTGAATAAAAGAGAAGGAATATATCAGCATCTATAAAAGATTATGTCCCTTTTTCATTAGGGAATTCTAAGCTCACAGGCACCCACCTGTCCTCAGCAATGGGAAGCAGTACAGTGCCTTTGGGGAATGCCAAATCTGGAATGCATGTGTACACCCTAACCTTGTTACAGAGCAAGTAACTCTTACCCTCCGTGGTCGTTTCCATGTTTGAATCTGCAATAGATAGGCCAGAGAGGCCAGGCGGTGTCATGGTGGCTGAAGATGATTGACCTTCTTTGGGTGAAAAAGGCAATGAGTCCAATGAAGAGTTCGAGTTCCTCTTTTCAGTGATTTCATTGATGTCTTGTGATGACAACGATGAGATGGACTCCTGAGAGCTGAAATTGACATTACTTGATACATTTTCAGCAGAAACCACCCCTTGCTCTTCATCTGTGACTTTTCAGCACAGTTTTAGCCAATGTCCGTGTCGAAAAGTTTCATAAATATATGGAAGTGTGAAATGAGTACAACACATATAAGAATGATCACCAGATTAAGGGGAGATTGGAAAAGATGTTACCTTCAGTTTCTTTATTATGGTCTTTGTGTTCGGCAACCAATGAAATTCCAGGATTGAGGTTCTGTTGTGGATCAGTGGTGGTGGGCAAGTCTAGGGAAGAAGCAGATTTCAGACTCTCAGCTCCTGAGGAATCAGATGAAGTGAACTCACCACTTTTACAATATCTGCCTGAACACAAAGGAAGTTATCTTGTAAAATCAATGCAAAGAGTGCCCACCAAACAAACAGTTTTCACCAAATAATGCACTCATGATTTTAGTGTGGAGTGAGAGAGAGAGAGAGAGAGAGTGGGATACTGTGGTAACTGACAAAGAAGGAAATAATATTCAAGTTTTTTCCTTGTTCTAATCCCATGCTGAACTTGATCATCTGAGCTAGTTAACCATTAAGTTATTTATCTAAATTTTGTACAAAGGAGGGGCAGGAATGGAGATTGATAAATGATAACAATAGCATAGAAATCAATATGGTCAAATTATTTTTGGAAAAAGTAAAAGATTAGAAAAAATGAGCGTGCAATCCTTGTGAAACAACAAATTGTCCATCTAGACAGAGGTTGCAAAATTATTCATAGCAGTCTGCTAAAAGTTCCTCTTCGAAGCAGGCATGCCCGTACACAAGCATACATAGCACAAGCATGTGATAATACACCACAAAAGTGAGCATTTTTTAATCCTTTCTTAGCAAGATAGATGAACACACACATATGAATATATACAGTGAAGCAATCCTCAAATCAAATCTTATGATTTCTTTATGAAACAAGCATATATCATATGGTTTCAGCTATTTTTCTTGTCAAAATCTCCGTAGATCATCAATCTAAATGATCTCGTACTATTAAAATCCACATAAAATTGTGCGACCATGGATAAACAAGTTGAGAAAACTTCCAGTCCATATGTTGAAATTTATGACTTTTATACCGATGAAGGAGTGACCAACTTACGCTTCATAAAAGTAGTGTAAGCAACCTTTGCAGCATTTAGTTCTGCCTGTTTCTTGGATTTCGCGGCATTTCCATGAAAAATCTCTCCCTCTATCTCCACGGTTGAAAAGAATGTTGGCTTATGAGGTTCACCAGATCTGATAGTTTTATATGTTGGCAGGAGAAAATCTTCATTCTGAGTCAATTGTTGTAAGAGATTCTTCCAAACTTGGAAGTCATTCTGCATGGAAACAGTGCAGTAAATTGACGTAATCAAGGCAGATATAGAACTTCATCACATCGTTTTATAAGCAATGGGCATCGTCATCATAACACTCCCCCACACCCCTGTCACATCCCCCCCCCCCCAAAAAAAAAAAAAAGGTAGAGGAAAGAAAGAAATGAAAAGCAAACAAGACAAATGATTTTAATGATGAGAACTGGCTTTAAACACTTGCTTTTTGAAAGGTATCTATTGACGAGGACATTAAAGCAACCTTTGCAGCAGCATGCTCTGCTTCCTTCAAAGTCTTGTAGAACAGTGGACTTTCATATGCCTCTCCGTCTATAGTAACTGTAGCCTTGAAGCAAGGAGCGTGAGAAGGGCCCTTCTTTTTACTAGAATATAAGGGTGAATCAAGCTTCTTTCTTTGAGCATAGGTCTGCAGCTTCATCTTGTACTCATTCTGCATATCTATGAGCACGAAGCAACTATAAGACATAGTTCTGTTTATGGAAAGTAGCAAGATTATAATGCACAAACAGAGACACAGAGAGTAACTTGAAATGCCAAAGCAATCCTGTCACCACACAAAATTAAATGGAACACGCTATATGAAAATATTCACAGTGATTAGTTATCTCCACATAATAGCATGTCAAAAGACAATTAATACCTTGCACAAATACACACTAGGCTAAATGCGTGCCGATAAACCATAAGCTATAATACATATTGCTGAAGTAATGTATAATTGCAAATGAATAAGAAGTTTAGCCAGATTCTTCTCTTGTCAGTTTGAACTGAATATTAAAGTTCCACTTATATTCCTTGAGCTGAATCAGAGAGTAATGCATGTCCTGTGTGTCTTGCAATAAAAGATGAGAGTCACCCAAGATTATTTTATATGGTTGAGGAGTCTCTCCACTTATTTCCAATTGGTTTGGTTGGAAGCTCTAATACCAAGAAAAGTGTATAAATATTACCGAGTTAAGCGTGTTTCATGACTCAACTACCATAACAACTGATACAGAGAAATGCATTTTAAGATCTAAAAGGGAAGGCAGGAGACCAATTAAATTTACATGAAACATCCAAAAGATCCCCATCATTTCCATTATTTAGCAGTGTACATGTTTCAATGTTTTCTATGCATGAGTTAAAAGTGTTTTCCAGTAAACAATTTGAGGATGATGCATTATGTTGAGCTAACACAGCCATAATGAATGCTCAAGTAAGTATCAAAACCACATTCGGTAAAATAAGAAGCAATGCTTATGCTCTACTGCAACTTGCAACGAAGACAGAAAATGTGGGAAATGTGACTTTGAAAAAGCAGTAGCAAACAACAAAGAGCACAATAAACAAGGGCCAGAAAGTGATGTAGCCAAAAGCAGAGCATTGGTGGTAGAATTCCTTACCAACTTTACCACTCAAAGCATTTGAATGACTCTCAGGACTCTGACATGTTTCTTCATTCTTCGGCTCTCCAGCAGTGGAATTGTAGTCTACAACCAAGTAACATGAAGAACATTGAGAAAGATACAATAAAAGATTTGCAATTTCTAATGCTAAGATAGAATAGACCATTGCTGTGAGGCAGTTTTACCTTTCTCCTTGTAGCCTAATAACTGGTGTTTTTTCAGTCAACTCTTTAGTAATCAATGATCATAATAGTTTATTTCATAACTAGCGATACCTCATGACTAAAGTCACTGTACACTAAATTATGATACTGTGCATGCAATAGAATGTGTGTGTTGGGCTTTTGAAATTTTGGGGGGAAATTGTGTGTTGGGTGTGTGAAATTTTGGGTGGGGGGGG